GGAGGGGAGGGGGAGGGGAGGGGACAGGGAGGGAGGGAAGAGCACTTACACCAATGCACTTGGCCACTTTGCCCATGATGTTGCCCTGGGGCTGGAACTTCTTGTACATTCTACTGCCAAGGACAAACACAACTGCACAGGGCAGAAGAAGAGGTGTCACTATAGAGTTCCCTGTGGTCTGAGAGATGCTCCTTTATCTGCCTGGTCTCCTTGGCAGGAGGCGTGAGATTGGTTATAGACTTGTCTCCATCCTCCCAGGTGAAGACCTGCTTCTGATTCTAGCGACCACCTGTGCCTCTGAGGATGAGGAAGCTTGAGCTAAAGCCTGCCTCCTCCATCAGTCTCCTCACGAGGAGGCTCTTAGACTTGCCACAGCTGTTTAAACACAAGTCCTTGCTATTTAAAGGGAGACAAAGGCCATGGATGTCTTTGCATACCATAAGAATACATCATTCTACAAAGACAATAAATACGGTGCTAAGATTTTCGGCTGTAATAGCAATAGGAATTTTCTTCCTGTTTCTAATATTCAGGAGAAAGGTATTAAACAGTTGAATCAGACCCTACACTAGGTTTTTTGATCGCCCCAAACCATCATTTGATAACATAAGGGCATTGATGGATCACTCGCTCTCCTCTGTTGAGAAGGTGGAGACCTCGGCAGCCGCTTGCTCTCAGGGGTCTCACTGAGTTCTGACCTGTACTACAGATGTCCTGCACGGCTCACACTGACTTGTGTAATGCCCTTACAAGCACCAGCGGTGAAGGGTCCCAACAGGCTGAGGCAGCATTTCCCTTGGCCAGCCTTTTTAACCTTTAAGCTTTTTGACAAACTAAAGCCTAATTCTAGCACAGAAGTTTCTGGAGGAGCTGTAGACACCTACAGTCTTTCATAGGAAGATGCAGAATCTTTTTCTTAAGAACAAGTCACACAGACTAAATGAGAATATACCTGAAGTGTCATTCTCTGCTCAGAATCGAGAGGAGAAGCACACACAAGCCCTTAGAAGAGCATGGCCATCTTTGAAGAATTACAAGAGAAGACATATTGGGCAGGGAAGAGGGTAGCACTTGCATAATAGCAAAAGCAAAGCAGTGTTGTTTCAGTATGAGGAAAAAAAGGTTTTATTTGATCATGGCAAGACCTAAAAAACAAACGTGGGAAAAGTGTGAAGAAGCCATGGGGACTTGAGGGGACCAAGGGCCGGGTCCATCTCACACTAACTTTCAACTTAGAACACCCAAGGTTACCTCTTTGTATATCCTAAAACAACAACAATAACAACAACAACAACAATAACAAACAAAAAAATGCTCAAAACCATATGTGAGCACACTATATGCATGTGTATGGAATCTAGATTTTATCATCTGTCTATCTGTCTATCTGTCTGTCTATCTATCTATCTACCTATCATCTATTTATTTAGTCATCTATCATCTATCAATCACCTATCTATCATGTATCTATGTATCTATCATCTAGCCATCTTCTATCATCTGTCTATTATCTACCATCTACCTATCAATCACCTATCTATGATCTATGTATGTATGTATGTATGTATGTATGTATGTGTCTGTCTGTCTGTCTGTCTGTCTGTTTATCTATCTCTTGAAAGCAGAGGACACTATCTTCAGTGCAGGAAGGGGAACAGAAAGAAGGATGAGGAAGGACTGGGATAGATAGTGGAACCCGGAACATGGAAAAGATACAGCAGTAACTATGTATAAAAATGTCATAGTGAAACTTGCCATTCTGCATATTAATCTATGAAGAAATCTAAAAAGCTATTGATATAAAAACATATGTGCAAATGAATATAACTATTATGTACACTCATTCCTCCTAGCAGGGAAGGGTTCCAGTAGAAACCCTTGGGGTGATGGACAATGGGACTTAGAAGGACCATTGAACCAGGCTGGCGTTTCTTTACTCAAGCCGCAGATGACGTGTGTCGACGAGTAAAGAAGCTTCCAATCCCTGGCTTAGCATGCTAGTAGCCTTTTCCACCTCTGCTCATCTATTCAGATGGACCCAAATGCCCAGGTCATGGATGCCTCTCCTTCAAAGCCCTTTCAGGATCTCATTTCCCATATAATATGGCTGCCCCACTTTCTCCTCTCTTAGAGGGAGAGCATGCCAAATGTCCAATGGCAGATTTTTGTGATACTTTTTGTTACAACTTGGTACACTGACTGTAACAAATTAGCCATGATAATTAACACAGAGCCAGACTTGGACAACTGCTCATGCCAGCACAACTGATCTACTCACTTAGGGAAACAGCCATGAGAGCCGCTGGAACCCCAAAGGCCAGTGGGTAACAAGCTTGTTGACTGTGGATTCCACACTGCTGAACTGAGGAGAAATAACAATAGAAAGCGTCATGTTTTCGTTAATGCGCGTGTTGCTCCCATTTCTAAACACCCAGAACTCATCACATTACACGGTCTTTACTTCCTGTTCTGGACTCAGCTGCTTATCTTAATGATGCCATGGCCAACTCAGCAAACCCTTCTAAGGATTTTCTTTTTAAGCATGCATTTATTTATTTATTTATTTATTTATTTATTTAGTCAGTCTGTCAGTCTGTCTCTCTCTCTCTCTCTCTCTCTCTCTCTCTCTCTCTCTCTCTCTGTGTGTGTGTGTGTGTGTGTGTGTGTAGTGCATTAAGAGGTCAGAGGACAACTTGCAGGATTTAGTTCTCTCTTTCCAGTATCTGGATCCAGGAATCAAACTCAGATTGTCAGGACTAGCAGCAAGCACCTTTACCGGCTTAGCCGTCTCGCAGGCTCTTATTCTGTGGATTTTCTAACTCGTGGAGCTAAATGTGACCTGGACACTCTATGTCCAACATGTGGGACTCCGTGAATTAAAGCTGATACACTCCCATCCACTACTGCACGCATCCTGTAAGCACAGTAGCTACACATCATGAGCTAAGGAAGGGCTGGACAGTACTTATTTTAGGTCTTGGCTCTTCTACCCTGCCTTCACAGGGGAAGCAATCAAATCTAAACGATGGTTACATCCAGGCTCCTGGACTTGACCCACAGTTTGCCACCCTCTGACAGAGGGTGCTCTTAGCTCCCTGAGTTCTTCATCTTGATAAGGAAAACCGTTAGGGCTTTGTAAAGGCAACACAGGATCCCCAGAAACACTCTGAAAGGACTGGATCCCACAGGGACTTTGGTCTGGTCTTTAACAAGCTATTTCACTACCTTTTAGACAAAGACACTTAACCATGGGGAAAGTGATGTTTGGGTAAACGATTCCTGTTCACAGCTGTACACACGATTCCCATTCATGACAGAGAAGACCCTGTCCCTCAGGCTCTGAGCACTTCCAATCAAATCCTTGCTCCAGCAGATTGCAACGGCTTTCCAGTTCCCCACTAATGAAGTGACAGAAACCTTGGACACATTGAGTTTCTTATGTCTTCCCAATTCTCTAAAACACCACAGGGAGCCAGGGCAAAAGGCCAGAAGTCACCCATAGGCGGCTGTATGTCTTCCCAAACATTGGCGATGGTGCCTTTCTGCTTTAAAGGTTTAAGATTAAACAATCAATGGTGTGAGAAGTTTCCTGTTCTTGAACCCAGGGAGTCAAGAAAGGTTGGAAGGGGAGGCATGGAAGAAAGAAGCTTACAGTTAGATTGTGACAACTATCCCAGCATGTGTGACAGCTGGCCATCAAAGGAAAGCAAAAGACAAGGACTAGCCATTGTTTTGTTTTGTTTGTTTGGGGACAGGGTTTAACTAAGTAGCTCAGGTTGGGCTGGAACTCACTATATAGAGCAGGCTGGCCTCGAACTCACAGAGATCCATCTGTTTCCGCCTTCCTAGTTTTATGATCAAAAAAGGTGTACACCAGCATGTCTGGGAGATTTAGCCTTTTTACTTGACTTTCTCACAACTAAAAAGAGAAAATCCAAGTTCCTAATAGATGGTTCTTTTTTTTTTTTTTTTAAAGATTTATTTATTTATTATATGAAAGTACACTGTAGCTGTCTTCAGACACCCATATGAGGGCATCGATCTCATTGTAGATGGTCGTGAGCCACCATGTGGTTGCTGGGATTTGAACTCATGACCTCTAGAAGAGCAGTCAGTGCTCTTAGCCACTGAGCCATCTCACCAGCCCTAATAGATGGTTCTTTACCTCTGAGTATGGGAGTGATGATTGTGGAGATCAGGCTTCCAGCGTTGATAGCCAAATAAAAGATGGAAAAGAACCGGTTTCGCTGTTTTTCCTGTCACAAGAGGGACACAGTTAGGTTATCACAACCAGGCTGGGAATCATGAGAGATGGTGGGGCTCAGAACGGGGCTCACTTCTGACTTAGTTTGGTCAGTATCCTACTTTCAAGCATCCTGGAAAAGACTCGGATGGAGACGGGACTCAATGCTCCAGGGATTCGATCTCTAGCCTGCTGTTAGTCATTGGCTCCCGTGCAGTTCACAGTCTTACCTGACCCTCTTCAAACTGATCACCACCAAACGCAGACACGCAGGGCTTGATTCCTCCCGTACCAAGGGCTATCAGGGCCAGGCCGATCATGGACAGTGCTCTGGGGAAAGAAAGAGGTGGTTTAAGGCCAAGGTGGGAGGTCCTCAGGAAGGCCCCTCCCCCTGTAGTCTCATTGCAAGGACTATGCACAGAAGCAGACACAGGGAGGTTCACCCTCGATGAGAAGGTAAGGTCTAAGAACACAGGCTGAGAGTTGAGTGAAACCTGGATGGCATGGAGTTGGAGCCCACGGTGTTTTGTCATTTATATTTAATCGAAAATGGCTTGAAATCTGAACAAGGATTTGCATATGGACTTTTGGTAGCCTTACCATTTCTAATAAAAGAACGAGTACATGAAATGTTACTTAATGGGTGGGGTCCATAGCTCAGGGGTAGAATAAATGGTTGGTATGCATAGGCCCAGGCTTCACACAGATACCAATCAAACAAACATAACCCTTATGTCAATCAAAATGGACTCTTAATAACCCACAAGATGGCTAGCTGCTATGTTAAGAAGTTGAAGTTTAATCAACCTTAAATTTTAAAAGAGATTTTGGAGTTTTCAAAGACTTTGGATTTGAGAAGAAAGCTTGGGTTTTGTTTATTTGTTTATTTGTTTGTTTTTTGTTTTTGTTTTTGAGACAGGGTCTTACTGTGTAGCCCTGGTTGACATGAACTCATTATGTAGACCAGGCTGGCTTCGAACTCACAGAGATCCATTTGCCTTTGCTGCCTTTGCTGCTGAGTGCTGAGATTAAAGACATTGCACCCTCAATGCTTGCTAAGGACTGAATTTTAAGAATTTACGTTTGTAAAGACTGTGGGACTTCTAAAACTTGGAATATTTGTATATTGTGATGTTCAAATTAAGGCGTGATTTTGGAGGTAAATAAAGGAAGGAAAAGTTGTGGCTGAATGGTGTTGTGTTTGTGTCCAGTTGTGCTAAATGGTTTTACGTCAACTTGAAGCTAGAGCCACTGGAGAAGAGGGAGCCTTAGCTGAGAAAATGCCTCCTACAATCAGGCTGCAGGCAAGACTGTGGAATATTTTCTTAATTAGTGATCAATGTGGGAGAGCCCAGCCCATTGTGAGTGGCGCCATCCCTGGGTTGGTGATCCTAGCTTCTATGAGAAAGCAGGCCAAGCAAGCGATGGGGAGCAATCCAGTAAGTAGCACCCCTCCATGGCCTCTGCATTAGTTCATCCACCCAGGTTCCTGCCCTGTTTGAGTTCCTGTCCAGACTCCCTTCAGTGACGGACTACAATGTGAAAATGTGAGCCAAATAAACCCTTCCTCCACAGCTTGCTTTTGGCCATGTAACCATCATGGCAAAGTAACCCTAACTAAGAGAAGAACAGTGCACACATGCAATCCCAGCACATGACGGCTTAGGTGGAGGATTGTGAATTTGAGACTTATATAGGCTGTACGGCAAGTTCTAGACCAGCCTGGGATATATAGTAAGATGCTGTGTTAAAAAGCAGTAAGCAGGGCTGGAGAGATGGCTCAGCGGTTAAGAGCACTGACTGCTCTTCCAGAGGTCCTGAGTTCAAATCCCAGCAACCACATGGTGGCTCACAACCATCCGTAATGAGATTGGATGCCCTCTTCTGGTGTGTCTGAAGACAGCTACAGTGTACTCATAAATAAAAATAAATAAATCTTTAAAAAGCAGTAAGCAATCAAGCAAGTCATGTAATTAGTGTACTGAGCCACATTTCAGGGAAGGAGAATAACTCCAGTAAGAATAGACCTTGCTGTCAAGAGTTCAGAGCAGGTGGCTAGGGCAGGTGGCTAGGACAAGTGTCTGTTAAATAGAGTTGCTAGAAACAACCTACAGGTTGTTTCAGGGAGAAACTACAGGTCTTTAGTTTAGGATATTGGGGAAAGCTGGTGGTGTTGAGGGCCAAGGTCTACGGAAGTTACGTCCCCCCTAGTGAAGACACTGTGAGCACAAAAACCTTCACATGACCATACATGGAATGAGATGTCTCAACCCTAGTCACATTGAGCAGACTTTAGGATGGGGACACCTTGAAGACACAACTGAACCACATTCTCTACATTACTGAGTAGGGAGGACTTCTCCATTCTCTTGGAGGACATTTCAGGAACAAGATGAATTATCAGATCGCCAACTAAGCAGGCAGTAAGAGAGTGGTGCAGCAGTGACCATGGACTTACACGTGCACAGGAAGGCTGTCAGGAGTACCATTGTGGTCGTGGTCTGTGAGGTCATTAATTGAGCTCACCGAGATGACTGCTTGTCCAATCGTGTAGACGATGGATAATGAAATAATTGTCCTGTGTTTAGAAAGGGCAAGAGAGAACCGGTTAAAGGCACAGTAGCTGTTTGCTTCCATTCTTCCTCTTGCAAAGCTTCAAAGAGTCCAGTCATGGATCTACCCATTTTTCTCCCCCCCCCCCCACTCCACTTCCCTTTTTCAAAACTAGGTAAAAATGAGAACTCCCAGGAAGGGAGAGCATAGGAACACAGAGTGAAATTGTGGTTACAGCCCAGAAGGGGGAGCCCACTTCCCTCCACCCTCACCTCTGCCACCACAGAAACACTATTTGTAGCTTTGGACAATAAGACTTAAAAATCTTGGCAGCATTGAGTATACTCGGGGGTTAGATCAAACAAACAAAGAAACAAACAAGACAGTGGAAAGGAATGCATTGGTAGGGGTGAGAAAGGAAGTGGATGTGAGGAAATTCAGAATGAACTTGATCAAAACGCCATGTACATATCCATGATATTCTCAAACAACTAAGAAAAAGTTTCCAGCTTGTGCCTGGTAGTGGTGGTTGGCCACGAGTAGACATTAACTTTACAGACTTCTTTAAAGAGAGCTGACTGTTCTTCCTCCTGCCTGTGTTAGCACTTTGATCTAGAAGAACATCTTTCTTCTCTATAAAGTTCCCAGAGACTTTTCCTGATAATTTTCCATGAGATAGCCCTGTTTGGGTGAGTACTCACAGTGGCTCCCCACCCACCAAGCCACATGAGCCTGCAGCAGCAAGACCTGGGCATCAGGCGGAGTCTTTTCTCACCAGTGATAGTCAGAGTCCCTGCCACTATTTCAAAACAATACAGTTTGTGTGTGTGTGTGTGTGTGTGTGTGTGTGTGTGTAAACAAACAACAAAACAACAACAAAGCCTCAACCTTCTTGAATTTACTTTGTTAAGTGCTAGGAATACAATATAAAGCAGAAACAAAGACACAGACATCCTATGAGTTCTTTTTCTTGAATCCTCCCCAACCTTCCGAGTCTGCCATACCAAATCACAAAGCTCACAGTTTAAGTCTCTGCTCTCTGTGGTGAGAAAGTCCCAGTCACTCACTTGAACTTCCCCAGCCACGAGTCTGCGATCAGAGCTCCAAGAATTGGAGTCAGGTAGCAGAGAGCAACAAAGGTATGGTAGATGGCCGTGGAGAGATCGTCATCCCAGTTAAGGAAGTTCCTGAAGTACAGAACCAGGAGTGCTTTCCAAGGTGGGGGGGTTGGGGGGTAGGGGAGAGAAACAGAGTTAGGGCTGGCTGAGGCAAAACATGCTCTTATAGAACCGTCAGGTGAGCCAGAAACTTACCTCGCATCCCATAGTAGGAGAATCTTTCACAGAATTCATTGACCACGATGAAGAAGATACTCAACGGGTAGCCAAAGCAACCCTGACAAGCAGGGAAATAATATTTAGACTCCTCACAAGATCAGACTCACACACCGGCACTGGAAGCTGGACAAAGATCTACCACACATGCAACAAATCCTCAGTTCCATTCAGAACCAGAATTGTGAATTTTGTGATAGCTTTATGTTAGTTATTCCCACACAGAGACAGCAATGAGATACATCAACTAGCAGGAGAAGGAAATAAACAGCATTCCTTAAGCCGAGGATATCTCATGCAGAACTCTGGATGTCCTAAGCACTTGTGTCAACTGAATAAGGCATATCTGTGTCCACCAAGGAACAAAACATTGCATAACTTACAGGATGAAGACATCAGAGAAGGACAAAGAATACTCACCCGAGACTTGGACATCCCTAAAAGAAAAACGAGACAACATTAAAGTCAAGTTATGACTGCTTTTGACTGAGCCCGCCTCAGCTCCTCTGGCTTCCCACAGCAGTAAGCCTTAGTGTCCTCTGGGATTCTGACATCAGACTCGCATCTCATCTTCAGTGGGGGACTGACCTTAGGCAATGCTTGTGAGATTCAAAAGTGAGAAGCAGTGCTCAGGAGAGCATGCCCAAACCATTTCCTCCTCAAACACTTCAAAGGCTCCCTCTGCATAAAACCAAACATTCTGGTGTGTTCTTCCAGATCTCACAAGGTCAGTGGGGTTCTGTGAGGGTTAAATCATTGAGGTTTAACACACTTTGAGGTGCTTAATGAAGAGTGAAGATTCAGCCTTTCTGTTCCTAATCCTGCCTTCCTTCCTACCCTTCTCCGAGCAGACTCCAGTGAGAGTATCAATGAACTGTCAGTTCACTGACTATTGTGTGTCTTCTCAAAGTTTGTAACATGGGAGACAGCAGCCTATTGCTGGGTGCCCTATCCATTTAGCCTATCCCTTTCTACTTGAGCACTGGCACTGGTGTTGACATTCCCTTCACACGGTGTGCTGTTATGATAGGCCATTCGCTGTAGGCTACCTGTCACTACTGTGTCCCCTTTCAGGGGATGCCCATCCTCTTCCTGTTTCCCAGACCCCACTGACTTCATTTTACAGTTCTTTGCTGCTAGGGCTCCTGAGGCACACACCTTGCTTCTGTTAGGAGTCCACCGACCGCTCAGCAGTAGTGGGTTACAAACAGGGCTGTGCCTGAGATTCTCCAGGGGGTTTGTAGAATAGACTGTTGGTCTGGGCCAGTGCTGCTGACTCGGAGGTCTGGCGGGCACATGTGACTGCGTTTTCTAACCAGTCTCCAGTGGTTGTACACTTTGAAAAACTGCTGTACTGGAGAATTGTAAGTAACCCTTAAACCCCAGTCCTGGCCCATGCGTGCCACCCTACAGCAGCGTGAACTATCTGGAGAGGGCTTGTCGGACCCCACACTGGCCACTGTGTCTTGTAGTAAGAGTTAGAGAGGCTCTGGCTTTAAAATAAGCCCCATGGTGACGTGGATGCTGCAGTCCGGTTCTCTTTGAGAAGCGTGTGTAAGCTGTGGTCTCTGGTTTCCTGACAGGTCTCCATATGTAGAGATGACCACTTCTTTGGCCCTGAGAACCAGGAAGACCAGCTACCCAGAGCAGAAACCAAATGCAGAAGCTGGGCAAATATTAGTGTCCTCCACCTCTCCCTGCCTCAATCTCCTGTCGTGTTCGCCATTCACAACTCTTCCCCTCTCACTCTCCACTGCGTACTGTCAGTTTGTGTGGCTCCCAGCCCCCATCCACCACAGGCACACACTCCCTGCTCCTGTCAGCTGAGCTGGGGCCATTTCCACCTGCCCACTCCACTGTGGCCCCAGGGTATCACAGGGTATCACAGCAGATGGTCTTGCTGTCTTTTGCCCACTTCAGAGTCTATTTGATGTTATTTTAGTCTTTGTTTCAAGGAGGGAAACACCACCATCCTGACCTCCTTGGATGCTAGTTCCCATTCTCCTGTGGTTAAAGCTGGAGCCAGAGATTCCACATCATACCCAAACTCGGTTTTCTTTGATGGAACGAGTTGCTTCAAGGTGCAATGAGAACCATGGGGTCAGAGCTGGGATTGAGTATCAGTTCTCCCAGCTGCCGCCTGGGACCCTGGGCAAGCCTGGGTAATGAGTGAACTGGAGAGAAACACCCTCTGCTTTGTAAGGTACTGTAAGAGTTCATGAGGGGCCAGCAAGATGGCTCAGACTAACTTTCCTCTGACTCATACAGTTTATGTAAAGTCTTTTCTCCTTCACTTCACACATTAGTGGATTGGAGACACTACCATCCTAGAATCTACAGCCTTGGTTAATTGGAGACACTACCATCCTAGAATCTTCAGACTTGAATGACACTCTCCTGAGTGGCAATTAAATGTCACCACAGAGAAGGACAGAGGAGTAAATCAGGCTGTGGGTATTCTTCAGCACCCTGATTTGTCGCAGGGCAGCTTGTGTTCTTGAAGAAATGGCACACTGCTCTATCTACTTAAAGTTTGGAGAATTTGGTCTCCCCAAGGCCTTCAAAGAACCAAGCAAGGAATGAGACTAACACAAAGACTAACACAATGGTCCAGAGGTTCTCATGAGGAAGGGCTGCAAGCCCAGAGTCCACAGAGCCAGACTGAGTCTCACTGCAGCAGTGTCTTCCTGTGTCCCTAGATGTTCTTTCTGGTTCACAGGGGAGGAACCTTATCTCCAGAGTGGTGACTATATATTCCTGTTAAATATTACCTAGCACTGGTTTACATCAAATGCATATATGGTTACTGGTAATGTTTAGAGGGCTGAGCCCGTGGCTGACCAATCATCAGGCTTAGAATTTCATTATGGAAAAGGAAGTATCCAACCTCACTCAAGCAAAGAAGAAACTAGAAAAAAGAAATTAGATACAGATCTTTCTCCTCTCTCGCCCTCTCCTTCTCTCCTTCTCTCCTACCTAGTGATGAAGGATAAAGGGTGGAAAAAAGAAGAACCTACAACACAGCTGAGATTAGCTACACTCAGCAAAGAAGAGCTTTGGTCTCCAGGGAGGACAGCAGAACAGACCAGGCTGTGGGCATTCTTCAGCGCCCTAATTGGTTGCAGGGTGACTTGTGTTCTTGAAGCAAAAAGTCAGAGATGGCAGGACCCACACATCCTACAGGAAGTATTTTGTGTTTTGAAAAGATGTGCATTTCTGAGAACTGCCTTTATTATTCCAGGGCAGAGGTTGCTAAGTTCCTTTTATAGAATCCCAAGCTATCTGCCCGCCATATGCTGAAGTCAGCACTTCTTATCTGAACATACCTGTGTCAACAGGATCTCTATCATAGAAAGGCCAAGTGTAGATCCAGGGGCCACAAGAGACTTGATTTCAACTCAGATTTCAACTTCAACAAGACTCCATTTACTTTAGACCACTCAGTTCGAAATGTTGGGTGAGCCCATGTTTCCAGAACAGCCTGTAGGTCACTTGGAGATGTAAGTATGACCAGGATTACATCTAGACTCCAGACTCTCTTATCTAGAGGGCTCAGTGGTGCCAGTGTGTCTAATCACTGACTAAACATTGGCTTTTGCTGTTATTATGTCTAGTGGATTTTTGACTTTCTATCATCGAAAAAATTTAGACAAAAATAAGTAACGGTAAGTATATTTTAAACATTTCTCTTACTGCTAACTTTGGGGTGCAGTGGAGGGACAGAGAAGCAGGGGAAAAAAGAGACTCCAGGGAGACCCACCGCTTATTAACACTTCTCCTTTGATGTGGAAATTTCCTGTGATTTATGCAGAGTGTAATAAATTGAGTCATGTAGGCTTGGGATGTCTACATAATGTTTCGCTACCTAAAAATCAATACAGCGAGAGCTGCTTAGTGGGGAAATGTTCTGAGAAATATATTACATCATCGATGACAAAGATGATAATGATACTTTCATCCATGTTCAAACACCATGGAGTGTATTTACACAAACCTGGAGGGTAAACCTACCACAGGCCTACAGTATATTGTAACCTTACAGGCATGCGCCATCCACAGCCAGGACACTGTCATGTGGCACCCAGCTGGGCTCACTCGGCGATACTCAGGCTGCAGAGCGCAGTTCTGGAAGTTGGATTTGGGATACAAAGCGCTTTACTGAAGTCTGAGAAACAAACTCCTCCTTTCAGACGGAGAGAAAACTATTCCTTATCATTTCTGAGAGTGCCTGCGCCCTAAAGTCTGGGCAAATTTGTAGGTGTCTTTCCTTCCATGGACTAGGGGGGCTTTGCAGATATCACTACAGATTTTGAAATGCAGCCTTTATCCTGAGTCAGCCAGTGGGTGAATATAAACACCATACGAGGAAAAGAAGTCACAATATGTTCATTGCCAAAGCATGTCAAGCCAGGCTCGGTGATCCTGGCACTCTAGAGGCAGAGGCAGGCAGATATCTGTGAGTTCAAGGCCAGGCAGGTCTGCAGAGCCAGTTGTAGGACAGCCAGGGTTACATAGGAAGACTCTCTATCTTAAATAAAAACAAACACCCCAAGAATAAGGAAAGCTACCTAGATGCTAAAAGTGTGGAGCTACTACTGCCGGGAGCATTGCTAATGGAGAGTGTGGAGCTTATGAAATGATTTGGGCATGTTGCCATCCAAGAGGACCAGCTCAGTGCCGGGGACCATGCCCAAGACTTGATAGGCCATGGCTGGTCTGAGTCCTGGCAGAAGTCTTGTGGCCCTTTCAGGGCAAGGAGGAGAAACTGTGATAAGTCCATACCCCATGTGTCTTCTGAGTCAGGAGACAGATGCGGAACATCAACCTACTTAGCTGCTGCCTAGTGTCAGCTCCTCAGGAATGACACACGGGGGTGCCTCATAACACACAGTGGCAAGAGCAGCTCCTGATATGCCTGTGTTGCAGGGCAGGTGCCAGGACACCCTGGGTGTACCATCTACTTAAGTGACAATGTGTCCTTGTATCTTTCTCATCTGTCAGTCAGACCATGCTTTGTCTCATGTGCACTTGACCGCTGGGTCTTTGCCTTCATACCTTGGCGGCTACTGCTCAGACTTGGGCACAGCTCCTGGCCAGCATATGCATTTTGAAGGGCTAGAATCCAAGGTTTCTCATGCAGGTGGCTCAAAAAAAAAGCCTGGATCCACTGATTCACAGTCTCAGAAGCTGGTGGTCTGAGATCGAGGTGTTGTGAGAGTTGTCTTCTATGCCAGAGAGGGAGAGTGTTCTGAGCCTCTCTGGGGGTTTCTAGCACCCTGGGGTATTCTTTGGCTCATAGAAGCATTGTCTGCCATTGTCCTCATCTCCACACAGCATCCCTCTCACGTGTGTCCTGTGCCCAAACCTTCCCTATAATAAACACATCAGTTATTCTGAACGTGTAGCCCACCCCACTCCACTATGATCTGATATTAAC